TTTACTACTTATTGCTAGCCTCAACGTGGACTGAGGGCAGGGCAGATCAGGCCATGCCAGATTCAACATGCAGAGCCAATCTGGTGGGGCACTGCATGCATGTGCCTTGTGCTGCCCCCCCCACACCCCCGTGCTATGTGCAGTGCATGCAGATTTTCCAGCTCCACACACAACACATTCTGGCCCAGTTTCAGTGCTCATTCTGCACACAGGATGCTCCACCAGACCAGCCCTGCATACTGGCTCTGGGCCAGGTCCAAATTGAGCCCCAGGCTATCAGCATGCACCAGAGCCATCACACAGGGCGATCTGGCATGACACCCAACATAGTGTGCGCCCTGTGCACCACATACAGACCAAGCCCTAGTACTGGACTAGTGCGTGCATGCTACATGCAGCACTGGGCTGGCCATGTGCACTGCATGCAACCAACGTGAGACAGGTGCTTCACGCAGTGTCTCACTGAGCTTAAAGCAGTGTCTACTGGACCAGCCCTGTGCACTGACACCGGCATGGCCTAAACCAGCCCAGCCCCAGAGCCAGTATACAGGGCCAGTCCAGTGTGCACTCCAGACCAACTTCTTGTGCCAACCTTATGACAAACCACCTATGCCAGGTCAGCCCCAGACCCATGGGCCAGATCATACAAAACTCTGCAAACTATATTTTTGACACCCCTAGGCTACAGCATAAAAGCTTTAGATGATATAACAGCCAACAGAATAAGTGCAGAGTGAAAAATGGAAAGACTTGGTGAATGATTTGTACTGGGTTGTCAGCAAACCTATAACTCAGAGGTGTTATATGGTCAAACTAAATTTTATTAGTTTTTAATTAGATGCAAGCTGACACTGACTAAAACAGATCCATTCCTCATTTCCCAAAATGTGCTTTATGTGAAGTTAAGCTAACACAGTCAGACCACACCTGAATATGTTGCGTGACTAGCCATCAGAATCTAAGGTGACATGTTCACCTGACAATAGGAGCTTTTAAATGCAAATTAAAAAGGAGAAACACCAGAGACAGGAGACAAGGATTCTTCCAAGCCCAATGCAGTGAACTTTCATCTCTGTTTAAAAGTTCAGCACTCATCAGGACTCGTTTAATCTAAAACCTTTTCATAGCACTCGAAGTGTATGAATTACATTTGCACTTCATTTGCAATTTACACTGTGAAAACAGTATGAATGGAAACATTTTGAGCAAGTAGGAGCATCAGCCTAGGCAGTATTGAAATGTTGATGTAGATGGAATGATCAAGGAAATTGCATAGTTGGTTCAAAGAGAAGTTTTTGAAAGCAAAGTGATCTGATGAGAATGCCTTGCATTAGAATCATAGAAAATGAGGGTTGGAAGGAACCTCAGGAGATCATCTAGTCCAATCCCCTAACCAAAGCAGGACCACCCCAACTAGATCATCCCAGACAAGGCTTTATCTAGCCAGGTCTGAAAAACCTCCAAGGATGGAGATTCCACCTCTGAGTAACCTGCTCCAGTGTTTTACTTCCCTCCTAATGAGAAAAATTCTTCCTAATATCTAACCTAAACTTCCTGTGCTGCAACTTGAGACTGTTGCTCCTTGTTCTGTCATGTGCCACCACTGAGAACAGTCCAGCTCCATCCTCTTTCAAACGAACCTCCTTTCAGGTAGTTGAAGGCTGCTATTAAATTCCCTTCTTTTCCCTAGGCTAAATAAACCCAATTCCCCCAGCTTCCCCTCAGAAGTCACGTGCCCCAGCCCATCACCATTTTCATTGCCCTCTGCTACACTCTATCCAATTTGTCCACATCATTTCTGCAGGGGGTGGGGCCCAAAACTGACAGTACTCCAGATGTGGCCTCACCAGTGCTGAATAGAGGGGAATAATCACTTCCCTTGACCTGCTGGCAACACTCCTACCAATGCAACCTAGGATGCCATTAGCCTTTTTTGCAACAATGACACTGCTTGGTCATATTCAGCTCACTGTTCAGTGTAACCCCCAGGTCGTTTTCTGCAGAGCTGCTGCCCAGACAGTAGCCCCAGCCTGTACCAGTGCATGGGTTTCTTCCATCCTAAGTGCAGGACTTTGCCCTCATCCTTGTTGAACCTCATGAGATTTCTTGTGGCCCAATCCTCCAATTTGTCTAGGTCACTCTGAATCCTAGCCCTACCCTCCAGTGTATCTACTCCTCTCCCCAGCTTAGTGTCATCTGCAAGCTTGCAGAGGGTGCAATCCATCCCACCTTCCAGGTTACTGAGCAAAATATAGACTACAACCAGCCCTAGGACTGACCCCTGAGACACTCCACTTGATATGGACTGCCAACTAGACATCAATACATTGATTACTACTCTCTGAGCCAGATGCTCCAGCCAGTTTTGTATCCACCTTACAGTCCATTCATCCAGCCCATACTTCCTTAGCTTGCCTACAAGAATGTTGTGGGAGACCATATTAAAAGCCTTGTTAAAATCAAGGTATACCACATCTACTGGTCCCCCCGCAACCACAGACTCAGTCATTCTAATAACATAAAAACCTTAGTGCGTCTGTCTCTCTGTAATGCTTTATTCGCACTCTGATTGGTTGTCTTGGCACCCAATCACAATGTTGACTGAAACAACCAATCAGAGTGCTCTGCGCGCGTGCGCGCGCACACACACACACACACACACACACACACACACACACACACACACACACACACACACACACACACACAGAGTGGAGTGCCACCAGGATGGCAGGGGCTGAGGGGCCAGAGCACACAGGCGAGGCCAGTGGCGCTAGCCTTGGCCCTGCTCCTGGGAAGCAGACGGCAGGGATGGAGTGGGACTGACGGGCTGGAACAGTGAGGGGGCAGGGGTCGTCTCATGAAGCCAGTGGTGGAGCGGTGGCACCACGGGACACTGGGTGGTGGCGCTCTGTCCCCACCCACCCATCCCCCCAGTCATTCATAACGGGCAATTTGTTAGTCTCTTCATAGAAGGCAGTCAGGTTGGTTTGGCATGACTTGCCCCTAGTAAATCCATGCTAACTGTTCCTAATCACCTTCTTCTCCTCCAAGTGCTTAGAAGTGGATTCCTTGAGGATCTGCTCCATGGTTTTATCAGGAATTGAGGTCAGACTGACTGGTTTGTAATTCCCTGGATCCTCCTTTTCCCCTTTCTTAAATATGGGCACTATGTTTACCCTTTTCCAATCATCTGGGACCTCTCCTGATAAATCATGAATTTCCAAAGATGATGGCCAGCAGCTCTGTAATCGCATCAGCCAACTTTTTCAGCACCCTGAGGTGCATCCCATCCAGCCCCATGGAGTTGTAAATGGACTTCATCCTAACCATGCAATGGGTTCCATAAAATATCCATCACAAAAATCATTGCCTGAAGCATCAGATTACATAGTCTGGATCTGAGCAGCATTTTTCCTCCTTTTCACAGAAGGAACACTACTACTGACATATGAAAAAGGGGTAGAGGGGAAAGTGTTATGGTATAGGTCCTTCAAACTTCAAACAAAGAAAAAAAAAGGCAGGGGGGAGGGGTTGTACCAGAAACAGGGAAGAAAAGGATTTTGTAACCAAGAACTGCTTACCTGATAAGTTGCTGGATACAGAAAAACCTATACATGTCACAGGTTAGGTTCTATAACCCCTCCCTGCACAAATGAGGGTTTGCAAAGTAGCTGGGGTTACAAAAGAACTACAGTTCTTTAATTGGGATTGACAGGGTGCTCCAGCTGTTTGCTGTGGCTTTTATTTCAGAAGGTGTTGTGTTACCTGTAGTAAACAACAGCTCTGAATTCATTCAGCAACTCAGTGAAAATGAAGGAATTTGAGAAACACCTGGATCCAGGTCCTACTGTATTAAGCTTCTTAATAGTTGGGATAGTTTCCATATAGCTGTTGCCCAGTATCTTTGGATTTGTCAACACATTTTTGGATACGTATTGCGGTTTTGTTTAGTTTCCCCTCCAAGTTATATTTCATCACTAAAATATGGAATCCTTTATGAATGTGTAATTGTCAATTTATCATTTTGGGGAAAAGGGCCTCATTACCAGATATAGCACCTAAAGTATGTTGACCTATTTTCATCTATCAAACAAGTTATTTCTCATTTTGAAACTACACTTAATGTTTACTGCACTTTACTGACCAATTAAAAAACATTTTTTTAAGTGCGTTTTGTTCTCCCACCTCACCATGTAACAAAGTTTTTACACAGCTCAAACAAAAGCCATAGTTATGCAGACACACATTCCTCTTCCATGAGTTTGTACAAATGGAAGTGACAGGAATTAAGTAAAAAGAGGTACATAAATGGCAACAGAAGTGACTGACCAGTCCTCACAAGTGGCTAAAAATGTGTGCTTTAAACTCATTGTAACAAAGAAAACCTGTAAAAATACTGCAAGAGAGTAGTACCCCCCCCCCCAACCCCATCACCACCCCTTAAGGTTCTTTTAACTTCTCTTATTTAACTCTCCTGGGGCAGGCAAATACAAAGCAACTCTTAAAAAGTGTCAACACACTGATATTTACAGTAACATAAAATATCAGCTCAGCTGTTTACGGTAATTCTAACCACTCCAAAAATTAAAGTATAAAGCTTTTCAAGTGACTTGAGAACCACGTGCCACTAAAACAGAACGGTGCTTTTCTCTCTCTATTAAGGAGAAACTCAACTTCCTGATTAGTCCCAAATCTCACTGTTCTTCAGTTTATTGTGAAATCAGTTACTGATACACAAGGTGTCTTGGTTTTCATCATCTATATTATAGCAGTTCTTCATATGTGACATTCTGTTCTCTCAATAGAGAATTACTTGCAACATCTAATCTCTTAATAGAGAATTACTATTACAACTACATGGAATCTTTCACCACAACCCACCAGGTAATAAGACCTTAAATTTTTTCATGTCACATCCAAGATCAAGTCCATAAGTACTCTCTCACTCATTGCGAGTGAAGACAGTGAAGAAATTTAATATTAATGATAACTAACAATCTCAATAGATTTTTAATTCAGAGCATCACATTATGGTTAAAATTAGATGAAATACAAAGGAGTATTTAATTCTCCTGCATCATGGTCCCAATAATAAAAGTGTATTCTCCCCTCCCCCAACATATGGCATTTCTCACTAATGTTGACCACCATCCTTTTCCACCATATTTAAATATGTTGGTACAATTTAAGATGTCCTTTATTTCTACTTCCAAAAGACAACTTTGTTACATGAGCATGAAGACTATGAAGATAGATAAGCTACAATATCAAAATGATTACTTTGCAGTGTTACTTGCAATTGTAACTACCATTTGAGTTCATGTAAACTTCTCCATACAGGTCCTTTTAAAAAGAAAGGCATCAAACCCCACCAGTTTGCAAATGTGTAAGCAAAATTAAACCATTCATCTGGTAGCTAACAAATCCTGACATACTACTATGAGCTTCTCAGAGTTCATTAAAAATGCATGCATGAGATACTCCAGTAACAGTCAATGTATGCCAGACAACAGCAATATTTGATTTTAAGAATTTGTAAATGGCTAAAAAGTTATCAAGTAAAATGAAACCAGAGAAAAAACATGAAGACTTAAATTTTAACACAAAACAACTGTAATCAAAGAAGTGACAAACTTCAGTTTAAGGCAGTGGTTCCCAACTTTATGATGAAGCCGCCACTTGCAATAACCACCACCTCCGAAGTCCTACTCCCCAGTCTGCTACTCACCAGAAGATTACATGATGCTTGAAGTGTGTGAGCTTGCCAATGAGGTCCCTTGGCCACCATATTGCTATTACTTCTGACTAGCAAAAAAAAATTGCAGTCTACCAAGTAGATGCATGAATCTACAATACTATACAATTTCATCTATTGGGAGTTGCAAAACAAGGGATGGAAGGCAGAGATCTTCTGAGAAACAATCTGCTTGGGTATGTTTATAGTAGAATGCAAATTTGGTCCAGGATTCCATGTTTTACTTACTCTCTGAATTTTTCCCTACCCCACACCCGCACAAGCTCCTGGCTTGTCTTCCAAGTGATCCATTCCCCAGGTTGGGAAACACTGGAATAGTGATTACTTTACCTATAGACCACCGTAACTGAAATTAGAGACTTGTATTAAAACTTAACCCTCTCTTTCTCCCCTCTTCTATGAACATTTTCTTTGTAAAAATAATACCTGCAAATCGCACTGATACAGTAGTACTTATTTTAACTTGTATTATGAATAAACTGCACATGCTGTTTTACAGACAATATATTTGTAAACTTGCTCATGCAAAATTAGTGTGCACAACAGGGATATTACTTTTCTAATTCCCCACACCTTTAAAAATGACACATATTTATGTCCGTATTTTAAAACTGTCCCCAAACCCTCAGTAATAATAAATCTTACACAGAAGAATCTCTCATCTGCCAGCCAAATCAATTTATGTAACTAAAACAAAAAAAGAATAAAAGTTGTACAAAAACGTGGTGGTTTTGTTTTTACAGGAAGAGAAACTTAATAAAAAGAAAAAACCATGGTCATGAAATTTTAACATTTTAATCCTAAACATTAAGTGGCAAATGGATGTTGGAACCTAATTTCCATACACCATGCACTTAAACTTTTTATTTCCAAATGTGGCCAAATCCACTAAAACATGAGTGCTTTACAAACTCTGGATTATGGAAATACATTTCTGGAATAAATGCAAGAAAAGCAACAATGGGAAAAAAGCCAACTGTTTCCATAAAAGTAAATAAAATGGAACAAGTGTGAAGATTAGGTATTTTTCCATTTCTTACTTTTAACCTGTCAAATCAGTGCATCATATGGTTCAACGTAATGGTCCCCATTTTGAACAAGTATCTAACTAGTGTCCATTGATTCCAAGTTAGTGGATGATGAATCTTTTTGGATACTTTCGAAGATGGCTGCCAGCTCAGGGTTAGAGCTTATCTGCGACTGAAATTCACTCATTAATGGACTCTTTTCTGCTTCTGGAATAGTTAGAAGTGCTGCTACTGCCCTCATGGCAGATCGCTTGAGTTCATCTTGTTTTTCAAACTCCTGTTTCACCGAATTTGCCTTTACCTGGGGTAGGAGGAAAAAAAGCATTTAGGAAGTTTATTTATTTTTTTTTGTTTTATAACAGGCACTTTAGGACATTTTTGTTTTTATGTATAACCACTTTCATTAAACAGGTATCTGAAATGGTTTACTACTGTACCGGCTGCAATGTACTCAAAAGCTAAAAAAGCAAAGAGCCTATCACAGGAGACTAGAAACCTGTAAACTAATGTTTAATGTACTTAAACAAAAAATATTACTAATAGACTTGTCTTGAAAATAGCAGAATAGGCAAAATTAGTACTAGAGGAAAAAAAATAGCCAATCCATATACCAATTGAAAGCAGAAGTACCCAATCTTCATTTAGTCAGGTCAGCAGCATTATAAAAATTAAATTGCAGCTCTAAGCATATTTACCAAAGCCAAATTTTTATAAATTGTTAGAACCTCAATGGCATTGTCATGCAAAACTTTTCAATCATACAGATATTACTTCATCACTAAAAAAAATGCCTCAAGTCCATCACGTGAAACAAGCAGCAGAATAACTGCAAAAAACGAGTAACAAAATGAACGGGGGAAATTTAATGCAACACCAGAAGTCCTGGCCATGAACAAGGACACCATTATGCCAGGTGCTGAATAAAACATACTGCCTCAAACAGCTTATCATAAAGGTAAATAAAGCATTCAGAAAAGGAAAAAACAGCAGTCTTATGCCACTCCCTTCATTTCATACTGCATGTTTGCCCTTTCAGTAGCCAACTGCAAGTTCTCTGTAACTTTTAAATCACTGTTAAAAATCATAGTAACACTCAATATTCCATATTTCATTTATATAATGAAACTTGAGTTTGCCAAGTGCTGAAACAGCAGTGAAGCTTCTGACTGACCTCAGACAAGGTAAGCAAATGATCCAGGGATATTTACATTAGCATGTATATTCAGAACAGAAGAGGAATTTCCATTAGAAATTGTACATGTATACCCAAGTCCTTCAAAATATTTTATAACAATGCTTGAATATAACCTACCAAACCATGACAGACTAAAGGTGTACTATGTGTGGGTGAAGGTACCACTTTGGGCATCTTATCTTACAATACAATTAGGTTATGAAGAGTACATTCATGCAAACCTTGTTGAAGCCTAGTTTACAACTACAGGGCAGAATAAATTCATAATAACTTCTCAAACAGTACTGTATTTTGGATTCAAGACCCTGATTCAGTCACACTATTTCTATGACCTTTTTTCTGTTGCTGTGTTCTATTAATCAAGAGTAGTTATAATTAAGACAGTACCTTTGTTGTACATGTGGCACGTAAGGGTTCAACAAGTCTATCCAACCTCTGTAGTACTGCACTTGGACACAGGGTAGACAGTCTCACCAACATTAAAAATGTTAGCATCTAGTTGAGGGAAAAGTCAATTCAGAAACAAGTTATGCCCTTTTCCTCTACAGCAATACTTAACATAAATAGAATTCAAGCAGAATGGACCATTTAAAAAGAAAGATTGCCTGACAATACTTGTCAATCAGCCTGCTGGTCTATTCAACATTTACATACGCAAGAGTACAAAATAATTTAGTAAATCATTGCTTAGAATAGAACGCTCACATATAAAATGTATGAGATGATAGCCAACCTTAATATCATAGTGATCCTTCAAGCCATCTTCAACATGGTTTAAGAATTCAAATATGTCTAGTCTATCCAAACAGCTATCTAAAAGCGTATACATGCACTCAAAAGCAGCTTTTCTGATGTCCAGCCCATCATCAACTGTATGCTTAAATGGTCCCATTTCCACCTGCACACAGAAACAAAATGTTAGGAAGTCATATTTAAAAGTCCTCTTAATTTTTGTTTAGAGGTTTTTCCTGGCTCACCTACCTCTCTTATTAGCTCCTTTCTCACTTTTGTTTCATTGTAAAGATGAGGAAGCACAGTATCTAAAAGGTCCCTTATTAATGATGGTTTATTGTGTGCTGCTGAGTTAAATGTCACTAGAGCTACTCTCCTTACATTGAGATCTGGGTCTTCCAGTGTTTTCAGGAAGTCACCTGCAACCATGGAAATAAATCAGTTACAAAACAGTTTTTTTTAGTTTGTTAATATTATAAATATTTCTCCATATTGGGTTCATGTTCAGCTTTTAATAGCTAACTACTTAACATGAGTACAGTTTTAGGTGAACAGAAATGGCCATTGCTACTTTCAGCCACAGTGCACAGAACTGGCTATAATTTTGTGATTTAATATTCCATATATCTGGATTTTGGGTTCAGCATTATATACATTAATATCACACTGAGAAATAAATAGCGTTGTAACAGAGCACTTACTAGCAGGGGCCTGAGTGGCAGCTAGGCAGCCTGCAATGCCAATTAGGCAAAGTTGCCTGATTGAGAGCAGGGCCCAGCTATGCTCTATTAAGAGCTGAGCCCTGAACTGCAAAGAGGTAGCAGCTAGGGAGCAACACTATCTGGCTGGGCTGCTGCTCAGAGTAACATCTTGGAGTTAAGGGTTGGGGCTATGGGGAAGGAGAATGCCTCATGGTCCTGGGCATAACCGAAACTGCACCCTGCCGGAGATGAGTGGCCTGGTGGCACTGTCTGTGGTGGGACAGTCCCTCAGAAATGCCAGGCCAGTTACTGCCCCAGTGAAAGGAGAGTATGGGGCACCTTCTAAGCCCAGCCCCACATCCCTGGTGAGTGAGATCAAGCAGGGGGAGCCCAGACTCACCTAGAGTACTGAGGCAGGGCCCAGGTTGGTGGAGGGACCGGTGACAACACCCAGACTCTTGGTGGAAGTCTGAGGCTGCAAATAGAAGCCAGCATGAAGCTCCAGGGGGTGGGGCCCTGAGCCTTGAGGAGCTATTAAGGAAGCTCCCAGGGCCACCGATAAGGAGATAGCCCAGGGAGGGCTTGGGGACAGGGCTTGAAGCCCTGATTCCAGAGGTGTGAGGTTAGAGCCCCAAGAGTGTGCACAGGGCCTGGGGCCCAGTGTATGTGTGTAATGAGAAAACCCAGGGTGAGAGCACTAGGACCGTGAGGGTGAGAGTGCTGGTGGGAGTGAGAGTCCCACGTGAGACTCCGGAGCTCGGGTTCCAGTGCTAGCTAGTTGGAGGAAACATCTGCGAGGCATGGGATATGATAAGGGGAGATCAGAGACGTATACATAGGCCCTTGTCATCAGGGCAGAGAAATGGGCAGCCTCCCGCCTGATTACCATCAGATAATTATTAACATCAAGGCGTGGCAGACAAGGAGGTGGGAGGCTGGCCCTAAGACAAGTGGGTAGGCCTATGTTTAGACCGGCCCTGGGGCACCCACTTGTTACAAGCATATTATGCACAAAAGTACCACTGATTTCAATTACCACTTTCAAAGTGACCTTTTAAGCTTATACCATTATTTTTCGCTAGTAAGCCTTACATAATTAGTAAAAACAAAACAAAGAAAATGCTACTTGAAGTCATCTCTATCCTCCCCCACTAATTTTCATAAAACATGTTTACAAGTGTGCTACCATCCATCAAGGAGTTGATACAACCATCCATCAAGGAGTTGATCAACTCCATCAAGGAGTTGATACAAATCTAATTCTAAAAAACCTACCAAAGTGTATTTAAAAATACCTTTGCTACTGCATGTCCTTAACTTATAAGCGACCAAATTTGCTATTGCATGTCCTTAACTTGAGCAAGCAAATGAGTGAGTAAGAGATTCCAAACCTATTAATGAAAAACTACTTCCCAAACTCAACCACAGTTAACATTCAGCCTTTGCAGAAATCATTTGTATTGTACTTCCACAATAAGGTAAACGAGACAAGAATTTTGTTTTAAAGTTTACTTCACATTATAGCCAGTTGCTGTGAAAAAACAGAATATAAAGGGAAAAGTAAAGGACACCTATTCCTACATACAAAGAGAAACAGGAAAAATGAAGAAAGAGAAGCAGGACAAAGAAATACTGATACTGATGGAGGTCCAATGACAGTCATTAGGTCTGGTTCCTTGTTCACTAAGCCACTACAAGAACTCTGAATTCTTTTAGGATTTTTTCTTGCCCCATAAATAACAGATGATTCTAAAAGGAAGCATCTCTGATTTAGAGGCCTGCGCATCATACTGCAACCCAGTCTTGATTTGAAAAAAAAAGGTACACATAAACATTTCCAATACAGAGACTAGCTAGTCACACCATGAACAAAGAGTAATTGAAAATGCATGATTTTGAAAATATGCCAAATGTTTTACATTCCTACAAGACTTAAGAGAGTAGGAAGCATAAATTTTCTATGGATGTTAATCAATCGGCTTAAAAAAAAATTCTCCATGGCAGGTTTGGCCTCAATGGTTTGTCATGAACAAAAGTAGATCTGAGGATAAAGTCATATAGCAATATAAAGCTTGTTTTTTCATGCCAAATATTACCTTAGTGCCAAATATTACCGTAGTTATTAACAAATCAAAAAGCACAATTATACAGCTCAGATTATTTCTTCAATAGGTATAGTAAGTATAGAGTTCAGTAAATCTTAAAATTTTAAAGAATGACACGACTATGCTTGAATTTACAATAAAATGTTTGGAAATAGTTTGAAAGTGTAGTATACCTATACAATTGCAAGCAAATGCTTAGCAATTTCTATCATGACTGTAGCTCCAAGTTCCCACGATCTACAGTCAGTGCAGAGGCAGAAAAGGATCTTGGAGTCATTACTGATGCCAAATGAACATGGGCTGACATCTGCCCATGTGGGGACGCAGTCAGGAAGGCCAACCATACGCTGTCGTGCATCCACAGATGCATCTCAAGTAGGTCCAAGGAGGTGATCCTCCCACTCTATGCGACACTGGTCAGGCCGCAGCTGGGGTACTGTGTCCAGTTCTGGGTGACACACTTCAGGAGGAATGTGGACAACATGGAGAGGGTCCAGAGGAGGGCCACTCGCATGATCAGGGGGCAGCAGGGCAGGCCCTACAAGGAGAGGCTATGGGACCTGAACCTGTTCAGCCTCCACAAGAGAAGGCTGAGGGGGCAATCGAGTGGCCTGTTACAAGCTAGTCAGAGGATACTAGCAGGCATTGAGGGAGTCCCTGTTCCCACCAGGAGTGACTAGAAATAACAGTCACAAGCTGGCAGAGGGTAGATTCAGACTAGACATCAGGAGGCACTACTTCACTGTCAGGGAGGCTAGGATCTGGAACCAACTTCCAAGAGAAGTGGTGCTGGCTCCTACCCTGTAGGTCTTTAAGAGGAGGTTAGATGAACACCTTGCTGGGGTCGTTTGACCCCAGTACTCTTTTCCAGCCATGGCAGGGGGTCAGACTTGATGATCTGCTCAGGTCTCTTCCGACCCTAACTATGAAACAGTGAAATGTCACTATTGACTCCAAATGCTTCAGTCTACAGCTTATAACCAATACTAATGGCTATTAGTAAGAGCAAAGTGACAAATTCCAGAAACTGCATAGTATTTATTTTTTTGAAAAATGGATTCTTTAAAATGCACACACTTTAACACAAATATGAAGTAACTGCTTGAAACTAAACTTGTTTCAATTTTTTTTAAAAAGTGCAAGAAACATACCTATGCAATTCTTCAACAGTGGATCTATGGGTTGTGGATGATCAGAAATAGTGAACTTCACGGCAGTAACTACTGAGCTTCGAGCATATGATGATCCTGATATGAAAACATTAGGAAGTTTAAGGATTAGGAATTACTGAAAAACCAGGACTACTAAATTCTTTCACAGCAAGTTACTTTCTCTTGGGCTCCATTTCAAAATATTAATTTTCCTAAGGATGGCATTTGAGATTGATTTCTGAATAATAAAGAATAAAACAATTGCAGATTGCCTAGCACTATGTTGTTTTTTCTTCATATATGTCCTATTACATTTTAAATGAAGAATAAAAATTAGACCTTAAATGTTAATTCGAAATATATTAAAGTCTGCATTCTATACAATATTAATTAAATAATGGACAACTTGAAACCATACCCCAATGCATTCAACACAGGAATTCTGTCTTACATGACAGCAAGTATAGAAATGTTTGTCAAGTCTTACAGATTAATCTGGAGTACTGAATTACATAGAATAGACATACTATATTTACTTGAATACAAGATGATCCTGAATAGAAGACCAACCCCCCAATAAGTTATAATTTTTTAAATCAGCTTTCAGGTATAGAATCTAATTATTGGAAATTTGCCTTGACTTTGTCTCCCTTCCACTGCTACAGCAGGAAAATAAGCTTGGGGAATCAGGTGGCCCCTCACCCCGTGTAGCCCCCCCAACTTTTTCCCCCTACAGCCACTTCTCGCTTTTACTGTCAGCCCTTGCTTTCCCTGAGTATCTGAAAGTGAGAGGCAAATTTCAAAACACTGACACTGAAATAAACATGCCTGTAGTAATTTAGTTAATTCATTATTCAGTGTAGCACCACACTAATCATAAGTGACAGGTAAGAACCAGGCCAACAGAGCTACTCTGGGTGAATTATTTGGGGCCTGGTTGGGTGATGTCTGCCATACATTTAAGACTGGCGAAGAAACCAGGATCACTGGAAATGGGAAAGGCACAGCTAAGCTGTGAGTGAAAAGGAAGCAGAAATGTATGCAATGTAGTGGCTCACCATGACTTGAAAAAGAATTGGAGCTGAGCGGGGACTGAGCACAATGTGCATTACTGTACATCTTATTCAGATGAGCTGCACTAACCTAGCCATGTAGCAAGTTTCCATTAGCACGTTTGCCCAGCATGGGCCATGTGTTGGAGAGTCATGTTCAATGTTGGTACATTTAATCCACTTCATAGTTGGTTCCCATTACTGAGCACATGCTGCTTTTTGGAAGCAATTTAACGACAGACAATGTATTTCATCAGGGGTTTTTTTGTATTCAAGTGCAAGATAAGGGGCTTTTTCCCCATGCTGATTGGGGAGAGGGGAATTCTTGTCCTTGTATTCAAGTAAATACAGTGCTTACTCCTTAACCCTCCTTATATTTCACAATTATTCTGATCTGCAGTTTAGGAATCTTTCAAATTTATCCCACTGCCAGTGGCATAATAGTAATGTCTCCATCTTATTCTTTGAAACTATTTACATACTTTATAAGAACTCTAACAAAAGCCACCTTCCATAGTCAAAAACAAGGACAGGAAAGTCACACTGACTTATTTCTGAAGCTTAAGGAAAATGTTATACTAAATAGAGTCTTTTAAAATGCTTACTATTTCAAAAGTACAAATTGGACAGTAATTCAGTTAAACTTTATGTGGATTTTGACTTTTATCACTTTACTGCTCTATAAATGTTATATGAAATTCAAGTGCATTCAAGAACAATATGTAAAATTTTGTTAGCTTAATTATATGGGCCGCAATGGTACGGAAAACAACAATCCCACAGAATTCAAAAGCACACCTTTTCAACAATAAAATATAAATATTTCATAGCTTTTCTACTGAACTCCTTGGAAGAAATCTTATATCTAACCTCTCTCTTAACAGGAAGCCAATATTTAAATATATACATAGGTGAGTGTGTACATACATATGATATGAGTAACTACTCACCTGATGCTAAATATCCCTTGAGCCGTGGGAGAAGAGTCTCTGGGTCTATTAAAGTAAGCTTGCCCAAACATTCAGCAACAACATTCCTTGTACCCTCTTCTGCACATTCGCAGTGCTTCAGCAATAAGGCCCAGATGTTCTCAACATATGGTTTCAGACCTACCACTGATGCTGAGCTAATTATTTCTTTCAAGGAATGGAGAAGAAGGTACTGCCTCTTAGGTTGACTAGTTATTTCTTGTAATACAAATGGTAGATATTCAGGAAGATTACCAACACTAATACTGCCCAGTGCATAAGATGCTGCAGACTTTACTTCTTCACTAGGAGAGGAGAATGCTTCTAATATTACAGACTTGAGCTCAATTTGTCCACTTAGGTCAATGTGATGCCCAACTTCCCCAAGAGAAAGCAAAGCTAAAAGACGAATGGAATCCGTAGATCTTGAGTTCTTGACATCTTGAATGAACTGACCTACTACAGCGGGTCCTTCTTTAGGGCAAGCTCGTGTAAGCGCAGCTACACATTTGGCAATGGAATAATAAGACTGCTTGTGAGTAAGTGCTGTGCTCTGTGAATACACTGGACCCGTTAACATACGCAGTAAATCCATATATCCCAAATTATTTGTTCCAGTCACAACCAAAGCTTGGAAAAATTCTAGCATGGCACTAAGTGCTCCACCCTGCAGTAGGGGTGATCTCACCAGCCCAATAAGTTCATTGAGAATGGACCCACTGATCTTTGACAGGGAGGAAGGATACACTTTAGCCAGTGTAGTCAGAAAACTGATTGCCATCTGTGATACATGCATATCACTCTCACTTATGAGAGGTGGAAGCTCATCCAGCACTGCATCAATCATGGCAGCTGTCAAGCTGTCACTGTAATTTTTAATTAATATATCTAGAGCAGAAAGCGTTCCCAGTTTCAAAGCTCGCTGGTTCTTCCTGAGGAAAGAAGCAAGAATAGGAACACCTTCCCCAAGGACTGGCCTGAGATCTATCTTCAAAGGAGAGCCAGCAATCAACGTCAAGGCCTTCACTGTAGTTAGCCGAGTAATCTCATTCTTTAGTCTCTCCAGGAATATCTGAAGTGTATTAGGCAGGTCAGTACCCAGATTATCACCAAGGCTACAAATAATCTGGCCCATGCAAGATATTGCCCTCTCTTTTACTTCTTGATCAATATCAGCAGCCTTCAATCTCTTGATCGTGCAAGTAAATAAATCTTTGATATATGGAGTAGCATCAAAGGAAGAAGGCTGGTCTAAAGGGCGAATGACCTTCACAAGCTGTTGTGTAACCAGAAGTGCCTCTGAGGTTATCTTGTAAAACGGGTCTCCAACACAAGCTACAACTGGTGGTACCAATGCTTGAACATGAGGATGGAAGACTTGGGGAGAATGGTTACAGAGGATCACATACAAACAAGACAAAGCATCAATCTTCAGATTAGAAGAGCTTGATTTGTCGTTCAGTGAAAAAATTATCCCTGTAAAAGAAAGGAAACACTGTTATTTACAGGCTGGGTTTTAACATAGAAATTTCCCTAGTATTTAAGGGACTGGAACCAAATTATGCTGACATTTTCTGCTCCCAAACCCTATTTTATGAAAGCTTCCTTTACACTTTACTACTAAAGAAATCAAAGAAACCTTTTCTACTCAACCCACTTAATGCCGTTTTCTTGTCTGTTCAAAATGACTGTACTTAAAACACACACACATACACAGCTACGTTATAAGACTGAAAGAAGTTTAAAGTAGTACCTGGAACTAAGCACTGACATTATACATTATATTACAAAATTGTTTTACATAAGTTATATAGAAATTAATAGACGTTCCATAGGCCTAAGTTTTCTTTTGAAAAGATATCAGCTAAGTACTAAAGAGTTTCTAACTAATTTCCTGTAAAAAAAAAAAAAA